GGGCGCGGGGAGGACGGACCCGGCGCGGCCCCGGCAGGAGGGAAGCGGTGAAACCCAAAAGGGGTTCCCAGAGGAGGGAAGTTTCCCGTGCCCCGCCACCCCCCAGCCCGCCGGCTTTTGCGGGGGAGCCCCGGTGCTGCGCTCGCACCGCAGCCCCAAGGAGCGCCGCCTCAGGGAGCCGGGCCCCGCCAGCCCTGACCCCGCTCCCAGCTCCTTTCCCTGTCCCGCAGGCGCCGTGACAGAAGTGAAAACAGACATCTACGTGACCAGCTTTGGGCCCGTGTCCGACGTGGAGATGGTAAGGGCCCCTCTTGCCGCCCCTGCTCTCCTTTCCCGGGATTCATTACGGTGGCATCTGAGTTGACCGTCATTAAAGCAGATTACGAGGCTTAATCTTCTTGACAATCTCCAGGGCCCAGCGGAGCAGTTTGGCTGGAGCTGCATATAGCTATTTCCCCAGCAGAGTCAGCCAGGCACAGAGGCTGGGCACAGAGAGCACCGCTGGCCTCAGGGGGAGGGCAGGAGTGGAAGGTTAAAGATGCCTCTTTAACCTCCTTAAGAAGATTATGAGCACCTGTGGCACAACACACAGCTTTGCAGGAAGGCAACGACCTAATGAGCAGCTGCAGGGGAATGGTGCCATTTCTGAGACAGCTGCCCCTTGTCGTGCTGGGTGTCCCCAGATTCAGGTAATTGAGGACTTGGGTGAACTCTGTCAGTTACAGCAGCAGCTCCAGCAAAATGTGAAGCCACCAGAGTGAGGATGGCATTGCTGATCTCATTTTGGAAATTGCCTTTGATTGCTGTTTTTGCCCTTGTACACTTCCTCCAATGCTTTCTTACCTGAGCCTGCAGTCCAGTTTGTGGGCAAGGAGCTGTGGGCCCCAAGATGCAGCCAAAAGTTTTTCCACTCTCTTCATAAGTCAAAGAGAAGGCATAACCTTGCCACCTTACACATTTGCCTCTGGACAAGGTTTAGCTCAGTTTTCTAAGCAACTTCTGTAGAGAAGTACTTTCTGAAGGCTTGTGAGAGTATTGCTAAGAGTCCTTGAGAAAAATAACTTAAATTAATATTAACTTGGTACCATAATCCTACTGTGATGTGACTCACTCACATCAGCCCTTTCTTTGTGAACATCTAAAGTAAGCTGCAGAAGGGGCACTGAGCATGTTTTTTTTGTTCCTGGCAATTAAATGTTGATGATCTATTTTTGCACTTTGAAAAGATACTAAACTGGACATTTCTATTTCCTTAGACCTCAGTCACCTTGAATTAGAATATTATCTCTGAGAGAACGATAAGGTGTTTTTTTTAACTTGCCCAGATCAAATTATCTGTTCACTGATTACTATGTAACTACTCTTTAAATAATAAGAAAATGGGGTATTTTTTCATAGACTGCTTTTTTTTTTTAGTAACTACTTAACGGTAATAGGATTAAGAGTTTAAGCAATAAACTGAATGCCATGGACTTGTGTGTTAGGTTCTTTCATGGAGTCACTGCATACACAGCAACTTGGGAGCTGCCGGCCCCCCTGCATAAGTCAACCACCTCTTTATTTTCCGTAGGAATACACAATGGATGTCTTCTTTCGGCAGACGTGGACTGATGAGAGGTTGAAGTTTAGTGGGCCAACTGAAATTTTGAGGTTGAACAATTTAATGGTCAGTAAAATTTGGACACCAGACACATTTTTTAGAAATGGAAAAAAATCAATTGCTCATAATATGACAACTCCTAACAAACTTTTCAGAATTATGCAGAATGGAACTATTCTTTACACAATGAGGTGAGAGCCTGCGCTTCTGCTTTTTCTTGACCTTTATTTTTGATTCTTTTAAGCAGTGCTCCTGCATACCACTTTGTTTTCATTGTCATCTACTGTAATGTATTCTAGACTAACCATTAATGCTGATTGTCCTATGCGGTTGGTGAACTTCCCTATGGATGGACATGCTTGTCCACTGAAGTTTGGAAGCTGTAAGTCTTTCTGTATCTTTCAGTTTTTAATAACAATACATTTGGTCTATGTACATGAGAAGAGCAGAAGTGAGATCCTAGGACACTACGTAACGATGTAGCTGAAATTTTTTATTGTATTTTTTATACTACAGTCTCACTTTCTCCTCTGAGACTCAGACCATTCATGGGTTTATTCACCGAAGGGTGACTGTTGAAGCATATTTTATTGTTTATTCTTCTTACACATCTGTTAGTCAAAGTGAGTCCTTCAACAAGTCATAAAAGCTGTAGTGTATTTACTGTGTTACTTTCAGTTTTGCAAATATTTAGTCGGTCTGGTAATTAGTTTTTAAAATATTTGTTCATCTGTGGTAATTGATGTACGTGTTTTATAGCAAACTAAGAAACAAAAGCCAGGACCTATCAGGTCTCACCTCAACCATTCTCTTCTTATTGGGGTTTTTTTGCATTTTGTCATTCACAAGGATAGGAACTTGCTGGAGGAGGATGCATGTTTCTATGGGTATTTGAGCCACAAAAGGGATCATCATCATTACTTTTTCCATTGCTTATAAAGTACATAGTTAATAATAGCAGTTTTTCCCTCTGTAACTCAGATGCTTATCCAAAAAGTGAAATAATCTATACATGGAAAAAAGGACCCCTGCATTCAGTAGAAGTACCACAGGAGTCTTCCAGTCTCCTCCAGTACGACCTCATAGGACAAACTGTATCTAGTGAAACAATCAAATCTAACACAGGTAAGATGTAGCCACGTGGGAAATACTGACATCATAAAACACATCTTGAAAAGAAATTACAGGGGCTTTTTTAATATAGAACCGAATTAGTTTAATTATGTCTTGCCATTTTAAAAATGAAAATCCTTGGACAGAAGCTAATCATTGTCTCCTATAAGATAGCTTTTCAATACAGTCCCTTTAAGCATGCAATTTTTCATGCAGTTCTTAAGACTTCCCTCTGTCTCCCCTCCCTGTAAAAACAGTCCATGAAATGAGTATTATTCTGCTCTGTTTCCATAAGGTCAGTTTACCTTTTTTAATCAGCTTATATCTGTTATGCACTAGGAGGCCCATAAGTGCTTTCCTCAGAACATAATGCGTTGGGTTCAAGCCAGTAATGTTTACTCATATGTCGCCAAAATAATGCTGACATACTTGTCTCTTAACAGGTGAATATGTAATCATGACAGTTTATTTCCACTTGCAAAGGAAGATGGGCTACTTCATGATACAGATATATACTCCATGCATTATGACAGTCATTCTTTCTCAGGTGTCTTTCTGGATTAATAAGGAGTCTGTTCCAGCCAGGACCGTTTTTGGTATGCTGCATTAAGGCCTTTGAACACCTCAGCATCACTCATACCGTTCATTCATTCCTTTCATTGCTTGTTTGTTTTAGGCGAATATTCACTTCAGCTGCTCTATTTCCATCTTCAAAGGAAAATAGGCTACTATCTCATTCAGACATACATTCCATGCATCATGACCGTAGTCCTGTCTCAAGTTGTGTTTTGGATCAACAAAGAATCCGTTCCAGCAAGAACCGTGGCTGGTATTTGTGTTTCATTCTCTTATCGTTCCCTTCATTCACTGTATTGACTCCATTGCATCAAACAGCTACTGTAATCCAGTGGGGGGTTGGAAAAGGCAGCTAGTAGGTTTGAGTGAACAAAAGGAAATACTAAAATTAAACAAAATACTGCTCAGTCTGCCTAGGACAGTCAAAATTCTTTACTCAGTATTTTTGGTTAGCCAGACTTGTTTGAGATGTTTTTCTTCCCCTGAATATTTTTTCATATGCATATTCATAGGCTGAATGCCAACTTCCTTTTTAAAGAGGATTTTTTTTTTCTATTGATTTATTCTCTTGTGAAACCAACCTGAGTTAAAGTGTTAAAGGACTTCAGATGGGTAAAGTTAGGTGGGACAAATCCTGTCCGTAGCACCGTTTGGAGCTGTAATATGAAAAGTGTGTCCATATTGCATGGCAGGGCCTTTTTTTTCTTTCCAGTGGTTTGATTTAACACTCCCAAAACTGTGAATTTTGTTTCCTTAATTTTTAGTCTGTGCTTTGCTATTCAATTTGCTCTTAAATTTTAAATTTGTTAAGGGATAAAGCTTCACTGGCTGAATTGTTGTTTCTAGAAAAACAGTCATAAAAATACTAAGCCAAACTACTAAAACTTGTCAAAAGCTTCATGAATCCACGACCCATACATACATGTTTTGCAGCCCTATCTATTGTCTCTTACCCCAGTATTTCTATACAAAGAATTCCCTTTGTGAGACTTGTCCTCAGTAACAACAAGGCAGCTGTCTGCTCCCTAGGCATAAATGATGCAAGACTCATAATTCAAAATGAGTCTGTAATTGTAGTTAGCAGGCTACAGAATTTGGATAATTTGATTTCAGTCGGTTGGCATTTCCTACCTGCAACGGATGGCGTTGATAAAAGCATTGCAAAGCTTTAGGGATGCTAAGTGAGCACAACTTGCTCAGATGCCTCTGAAGTAACATCAACACTTTTGTTCTTGAAATCCCCAGTGGGAGCTGGGAGGCAGTTTGGCATCGTTAAGCACTTACTTATAAGTAGTAGTTTTCTGGCACTGGGGATTTCTTTAAGTGCTTCAAAATATTAAAAATATCAGGCAATAGATTTTAAAGGATGTTTATTGCAGTAGAGGCATGAAATAGATACAGGAGGTTTGTGCACCAAATATGATGCTACCTGATCTGGCTTTATGTTGCATCTCTGGACTATACAGCTGCATCCTCTGCATTTTGAGTGAAACATATTTGCTACCTGCTAGGCAGTGGAAGTCAGTTCTGTATGCTTGAAGTAATGTACTAATAAGTCTTTAGCTGATTCAGTGCTAATTACATGGAGACCCCAAACCCTGCAGTAACAACTCTTAGATGTCATACTGAATCTAGAGTTAGAAACAAAGTATTTTATGAAAATAGTAAAATAGACATCTTTCTCAGTATTGTGGAAAATTCATTGTGTTGACATTTTAAAAGACTGTTTGAATCCTTATTCCGTTCTTATTTCTCCCAGGCAGAGTCTGAATTTATAGTCCTTACTAATTCAAAATCCCATGGATTCGTATTACCTTCATCTGAGGAAAAAAGAGCAAATTCCTTATGACAAAAAAGACTTTCAGGCCCCAGTAAGAAAGCAGAGGTTTTAAATGGAGAAGGTTTAAAATGGAGAGGTCTCCCTTCTCCATCATATTCAAATACTTCAATTACAGATTTTCAGTTTTACTTCCGAGTTCCCAAACAGCAAGTCTGAGAGAAAACAATAATAGAAGAATAACAGTGGTGTGCCCAAACCAGTTTCTTGGAACAAATTAATGTAATAACTCTACTGACCACCAAAATGGATGCCAATCATCCTTTATGGGTAGTATTGTAATAAATACTTTGAACTTTTCGCAAAGATAAATTAATAGTCATAAGCACCCTTTGTAGACCTGCATCAGAAAAATGGGAGATGGAAATAGTTGAAGAGGCACTCTTGCATTCTTTCTAATTGTGTCATTGGAAAGAAGAGCAGATTGCTGGTACAAAATCCCTCATGTGGAGCTATGTACATAGCTCTGCATATATATGTATATATATATATATACACACGTATGTATGTATGTGTGAAGTGTTATGAAGCATGGCATTATCAGAAATTACTTAGAACAGGAAACGTGGTTGTTGGAGGCCTAATTTTAAGTATGCTCTGAATCCACATAGCAGTGGCTGTTATTTCACATTTTTTATGTGCCTTTATCTAATCTTTATTATTCCTGGCAAGAAGTTAATCTGCTATTTTGCAGAAAGATAGCAGTCAGCTTCTACCTTCCTAGCAGGTCACCCTGGGAATTTTGAATTAATATCTAGTCATTAAACTTTCTTTACAATAAGGTCTCAAATAGAGAAAGGTGTTTGGGTATTTCTGTTGTTTCATTTTAGTAATAAAAGAGAACATATTTCAGTATTTGTGTTGTGGAACAGCTTACCAAGAAGCGTTCAAAGTGGAAAGACGAGGGTAAACAATCATCAGTTACAGTTTACCAACTGTAATTTGGCATTCAGTTTGATAAAGGAGTTTCTCACAGTGCAGAGCATTTCATCAATATTCACTCCACACCGAGAGAAGTCTTATCTGTGTCTGTAATAGAATAGGAGTCCTATTCCTAAGTTTAAATTCCTGCATTTATTCAGACACAGAATATATCATTTTTATTACTAACTAGCACATGGACAGATTCTAATCACACATCATATTGAAAAGTTCATTCTGGACCTCTGAAATTGAAGTATATCTCAGCATACTTGTATTCGTATTATAAAATGAGCCTGGCAGATTTGGGAGAAGTAGAGATCCTGCGTATTCTTATACCATCTCCTCTTTGCACTTCATTAAAACATGTTAAATAATGACATTGGGACGTAGTTAACCTCAGACAGCTGGCAAGCTACATCATGTGAAAGAGCTGCAAAAAAACCGCTGAAAAGAATCAAGTCACCCTGTCGTGATGCTGCAGCATGCAATGACACTGCATCCTTTCCACCGAGCATCATCCACAGCATATTGATTCATCATCACAGCATGCCATTACAATATCTTTTTGTTTCCCACCTACCCATCCCTGACTGCAGAAAAGAGCAAAGAGGGTATTCTCCACCTTACTGTCTTTAAATACCCGTGGTTTTAACATTTTAACAGGCATAGTTACAAGTAAACATGAGTCACTGAGGCTTATATGTTAATGAATGAGCTTGCTTGCACTTTTTGCCTGTATCAGGCAGTGGTGGGAAGTAGGAATATTTCCTGCGTTATTGATGCTCTACAGTCCAAACCAGAATGAATTCTTGAGTTCACGTGAAGAACGCCGTGGGCCCCATCATAGCCTACCACTGATTTTAATGCAGAATTTGGTGGATTCAGTGAGTGTTCTGTGAGCCATGATCTGTCTGGTGCAACAGCAGGAGAAAGAGAGGATCACTGTTGGGAAATGAAAGTACGTTAGTCTAGATTTCTGCCACCAAACGTTCCACTTACTAACCCCTCAAGTAAAGCGTCTTTCATAGTTTGAGCCTGAATTTTGTTCCACCCACGTTTGTCCCAATTCTAAGATGCCGAGCCATGTAATACGCCGTTATCTTAACTTTCAGTCTGCTCATTGAGGAAGTTCATTTAGAGCTTTTGGATGCTGAAGCCAGTACATTAATTACCTAAGAACACAAAATATTTAGCTGTCTTGTTAGTTAGCTGATATGTAGGATGACAGCTAAAACCAAAGAGGAGTTGGGGTTTTATTGATCAATAGGAATTCAACAGTAGCAGGATTGAAGCAAAATTCTGATGCCCCCATTTTCTCTCTCTTATTTTCCAGGAATCACTACAGTGCTCACAATGACCACTTTAAGCATCAGCGCACGCCACTCTTTGCCCAAGGTGTCCTACGCTACCGCCATGGATTGGTTCATAGCTGTGTGCTTTGCCTTTGTCTTCTCTGCACTGATTGAGTTTGCAGCTGTCAACTACTTCACCAATCTCCAGACTCAGAGAGCGATGAGGAAGGCAGCCAGGGCAGCAGCACTGGCAGCAGCACTATCAGCAGCAACTGTACCGGCAGAGGACGAGATTGTCTCGGTAATTGCTTGCTTTTCTGATAATAAGCATCATATAGGAAGAGGCAGCTGAAGTAGTGAATGCAAAACAATATTAAAGTGATCTTAACCTGAAACATTATGTAACCAGACCGTGTCTGTTTAGCAAAGACGTTGTTCTTACTGCAGAAAATGAAAAGTCTTCGTTGATTCATGCTGCTTATTTAAATTCGAGATATGATTTACTAGAGAGATGTTTGTTTGGTAAGATATTTAAGGAAAGCCATTAGACTGTTACCCATAATACTTCTCTTGAGCGATGCTGTAGGCAGCGTGGTCAGGCAGCTGTGGTGCTCTCAGCAAGTCTGCAGAATTTGTACAATGCAGTGAACATGTGCATTGGCCAGATGATTATGGGATCACTGTAGTACACTGGTACATACCATAAGTGGGTCATCTGGAAGAAGAGGAATTAGCCTTTACATAAACTTGGCATCTGTTACTTTCATAAAAATCTGTGTGTGGAAGCTTGGGGAAACAAATGTAAAGATCAGGGATAGATTTTACTATATGTGAAAGACAGGAAGGCTTTCTAGTATCAAAAAAGATATGTCAAAATTGCTTGTAAATATTATTCCTTACATCTCAGGCTAAGTAGGCTAAGTAATGAGTGCCGTCTCACAACACATATTAATATATTTATCCCTATAACCCTCCTGTTTTCAATTTGAAATTAGTTTTACTACCACCACATTGCCCATTTTGAGAGGAATAACAGAATTTGAATGCCCTTTTGCAAAACCTTTGAGTCTGTCGTTGAATAAGGAAGTCAGTCTAGGAGCTGTTGAATATCAGGGCAACACCTTACCCACTATCTAGTCATTTATCCACATTTGCTTGAAGTTAGAACGTTTGGGTACCTCGAGCTATTAGTCATAATTGGTAAGGTCCATATAATAGCCAAACGAAAGCTCCATAGCATACAGATGTAGAAGAGCAGTTAAACCCCATAACATTGAAGTCCTGAGGTGAGCTCGGTCTCTAAAACAGCCCAATTGCACAGTCCTCATCTCGCTCATATTATCCAAGACAGCAATTTTCAGCCCCTGTAAGTCCACCACTGTTTTTCTCAGAGGACCAGGTCTCTGTGAGAACTCACCTCTGCAGTAACAGGAAGAGCAAAATCGGTGAGATTATAAAAAATGAAGAGGACTTACAGTTGGAGGAAAGATGATGTAGTCAAAATGGCTTCTAGAGAATTAACTGTTGGATTTAAAGGGTCCCATCCTAGAAAGGGGGATAAGGAGTAATTACAGGGTAACAGATTTTAATAAGCTTTTCTTTCTTTTTTTTTGGTGTGGTGAAGGTAAGGGGGAAAGAACTTCTGTCTGTTGTCACATAGGTGGGTACACTGCAGTCAGTGGTGTAATTTCAGCTGAAAGACCTGAACTAATGAATTGGAAGGTAACAGAGTAGTTGGCACCGACCAATTGCATGAGTACATGACCATTTCCTCAGGATCTTCGTCCTCTACCGAGCTTTGTCCTTCTACAGTTACTTCTACATTACTGATCTTAAGGCAGTTATATTCTAGTTAGGCACACAGCATACTCGGTTTCTTGCTTATTGTAGATTTAGAAGCTGTTTCTGGAGACCTGATCTCCCTTTTGTTACCATACACCCCTCAACTTGTTCCATTTGTTTGCCTCTGAATTCTTTCATTGCTTTTCCTCCAAATTTTTCTTTTTTTGATTGCCACAATGCCCAGTTCTTATTCATACCTTTCCTGCTCTTCCTTTTTTGCCTTTTCTCCCCATTTACTCAGCCTCTCTTCTTAGAACACTGTTTTCTAATTCACTAGAAAACAGTCTCTTAGAATCCATGTCTTATACATTAACATGGTTTTTAACTTTATTTGGTTTTATAAAATAGTTTAAAACTTTCCCTTCTGAAAGGGAAGCCCCTGTGAACCCTGGGCTTTGGTACCTTGTCTTGTCTAATCTATTTTTTAAATTTCTTTTTGCTCTTTTAGATAACATAGTGAAGCTTTTCATCCACTTGTAATGCTGATATTTTTATTTGTGATTTTTAAGTGCATGAAAGTTCTCAGAATTTTAGCTACGTGAAAGGGCAGGTATAGGGTGAAAAGCAGTGAACAGTATGTCAAAAATGCTTCCTGTCTTCTGCATTTATAGAAGTCAGACGGCATTTCTACATTGAGAAAGTTTCTGAGGATTGTGAAGTTTTGCTGAGTTTTGGTGAGTCTGTTTGTAAAATCAAAGTGAAAAAGTGAGATGTAATTACTTGAAAATTTTCACGGCTGTACAACCATGGTCAATGGGACGCTGCTACCAGCAGCGCCATTAAGAGGAACAGCATAGACTACATGATTTTAATAATCTGGTCTCTTAAATTGCTTGAAGAGTGGCTAAAGAACGTTGTGGTGGTAGTAACCTGAGGCTGTCTGAACTAATACTGTCTGTGTGACAGAGAATCCATTCTCCTGCTTTGCGTGAGAGAAGCCCAGGGAGAGAGTTTTGGTATAAATGAAAATTCAAAGGTGCTATAAAACAGCCAGTTAGAAACTTTTGCTCCAGACCTTCTTGAGTGAGGACCTAAACTCATCAAGATCAACTTATTTACAGAATATATTCAGGGGTTTAATTCCAAATTAATTATGTTTCCTGAAAAAAAAAGTAAATCAAACCCCTTTCAAACTACTATCAAAAAGCCTCCTTCCCCCTTCAGCTGAGCTAGTTTTATTTTAAAACCTTGCTTTATTCAAATGAACAAAAACTTGTAGTCACGGGGTTTTATATTGTAGCCAAAATCCTGTACACTCAGAAAAGCAAGATGGCAGAAGACCAAGTTCTGCTCTGCTGTGCTGATGAGAAGAGGAGAAACTGCTCAGGTCATTGGACTGCGCTGGTTGCAGTAAGGGAAGCAAGGTCTGAGTGTGCTGGGTTGACTGCTGACAGCCCAGCACGCCTCTTCTGGTTCCAGGAAAGCCGCTCTATTCACCTCGCTTCACTGAGAGCACAATTTGGCTTGCTCTCTTTGTCAGCTGCAGGCCATCCCTGTGTGAAATACAAAAACTATGGGTGTTCCACTCCAAAATACGGTGGCGACAAGCTGAGTCGTCATCTGGACCCTGACACAAACCTGGTTTTATTCATATGGTGACCAAGCTTGTTCTAGCATGTCAAAACCAAATGTTCTGTATACACACATATATATGTGTGTATATATATAAAGCATTACAACATTTGGCTCTTTAATCCATTTCAAATGTGCATTTTTCTATATCAGTCATATAGTTTCATCCTTATGGCTTCTTTATCCAGGAATGTCCCAATACTGGAAGTTGAAGGGGAAGGGGAATTTGTGATACTGTCTGGAGTAATGCTCTGAGAGGTGGTCAGGGAGCACGAACCATAGACCAAAAATCATCCTTTTTGTGTGAGAAATTACACGTGAAAGGCAAAAGATTGTTATAGGGTAGTAGCTCGTTTACAGTTCTGTTCTAAAAGATAATAAACAGCAATAAATATTGAAGTATTATTTCACAATAAACAGCACAGGGCAGGGAAATGCTGCTGGGAGAGCTTCCTTCTCCCTACAGATAGCCTTGTCCCTGTGTTTCAGAATAACAGGGCTTGGGCAGAAAAGGATTCTCAATCTCTTTAACAGTCCTGCCCAACTGCAGAGCAGCCGTATGTCACTTCGGTGTAAAGGATTTAGTTTCCCATAATTACGTCAGGATATATGGAGTATGTTTAATGAGTATCCTGGTGTAGCTGAGAGGAGAGCATATCTATTTGGATCATCAACCACCCTTCATGAGGTCTTCCTAGGCACAGCTATAGGCCTTGAAGTCTTGAGTGAGAACACGGCCCTTTCAATCGAATTAGGGAGACCTTCCTGCTCCTCCACAATTGCAGATTATCATGCAGGCTATTAAAAACAAACAAGAACTTTCAGTTATATTGACTTTATGTCATTCCCAGCAAGGCAAGTAGATGCTGATTATGTGGTTCTGCTCGAGTTAAGTATTTGTCTGATTGACAAAGCCAATGCAGGGCAGTAAGGAAGGTTTAGAAGTAGCTGATGCCATACAGCAAAATAGGAAAATTCAAGATGAATTGGGTTTAGACATTTCCTTGTTCAACATGGAAGTCTAATCCCAGTACCTTTTTTGCAGGAAGCAGTGAGAACAAAATAAAAAGTATACAAAAAAATAACCCAAACCTCTCTAGTGCTGTTTGTGTCTCATTTATAGGAAGAGTTTCTGCAGAAACTTATTTTTCTGCAGAAATTTAGCAAAGTAAATATAGAGATATACTGACGCTGGTAAGTTTAAGAGCCGAATGTGACTTTGAACATTTAAATCTGTTGAAGATAAATATTTTGACAGAGGCTCTGTGCTAATTATATGATTTTTTCTGATACGCTAACATAAAAATGTTAGGAAGAGATCGCACCACAGTGAATTCGCATTGAGGAGAAAATGATTGGTGTTCCCATCTCTGCTCTCCTTAGTGCTTACCTGTGTTATATGATGGCAATTTTAGTACAGTGGGCATGGTATATTTTTCAGAGTTATGCTCTCTGCCTCTAATGGCTTTTTAGATTTTCCCATGCAAAGTAAAACAGCTTTGAAGTAACGAGGTAACAGCCTCCCCCATAGCCACCTTCACCTGGCTGTACTTTGAGAGAGGTGAATGTCAGTCCCTGGAGGTTAAAAAAAGGAGTTGAACATGGCTTTCCCATGCTCCAAGTGAGTAATTTAACCCAAGTTATTTAACCCTCTTTTGAAGAAAACAAATTGGCATGTCATTTCTCATGATGTTTCTAGGAAAGGAAACTTAGAATTCCTAAAGACGTGCCTAAAACTAGGACTGTTAATGATCTCTAAACTATATTCAGCTTTTAATTATGCAAAGCACTGTTTGTAAATGTTTGCAATACACGTTTTTTAATCAGATCCCACAGATGGCAAGGAAGTGTCTAAGTTATAGGTTGTAATGGATCTCTGGCATGAGATGGATTTATTTTTTTTAATTGGGGTTTTTTGTGTGTTTTGTGATGTCAGCAGAGTTCCACAGCCTCACTCCAATAAATTATAAAGAAAAGGAGGAATAACACATTTTTTTGTCTAACCTTTTAGAGTCTATTCTCACAAACCTCTTTTTACAAGAAAAAGAGATATAAATGAGTTAAAGAGAGATAAAGTAAGGACATACAGATATTCATTTGTCTAAAGTTAGCCAGTATCAGTGCATACATAAGATCCTCACGTTAGTGCTAGGTCACAAACTAAACTGATAGTGAGAATGAGTGTTTGCAGTGCAAAGGAACAGAGAACAGCGGAGGATTTTACAAATATGAATTACAGAAATCTCGTGAGGAGAAGAAATGCAAGAACAAAGCACATTCCTAAATGACAGTTAGCAGCCATATGAAAATCAGAAAAGCAGACAAAGAATCCTGTTTACTCCAAGGTTATGTGTGCTGTATTTTTTAAAATCAATTTGCTGAGAGCTTCCTGAGATACTCTGAGCATGAGCAAACTGTAGTGATATTGATGGGGGCTATGAGAGCAGCATCTTCATGGATGAGACTTTGTGAGCTTTCCAGGGGATCAGATAGCTGAGCTGCAAAAGCTTAAGAGAAGCCAGACCGTACCTTACTCACCCCTATACATCCCAGTCTTTGTCTAGTCCAGTGTTACGGTGTCTCCCATTAAACAGGGATCTTGCGTTCTGTTCTGTGTCACTGGGTAGCCATCGTAGTGACAAGTTTAATTGCCTGATGGGAATACTCATGTGTAAAAGTACTCCTCTGAAGCAGGACTCAGTAACTTAAAATTCATTATTTCATAATGACACCGAGCTCCTTGATGTTGCTCTTGCTACTTGTGAAACAGTCCTCATTATTTGAGTGACTGGCTGTGTGTACTATGCGAAATAGGCTGTCCGTTCCCTGTTTCTCTCCGTGTTTTGCTGAAGTTTGACGATGTCATTCTAG